CAGAGGGACTTCATCTTTTTAGCAATATCCAACACTCTAAGGAAGTGTTTGCTGYGGGTGTTTCTATTTGGGCATGGCCTTTTCCCCTTGGGAGCCTTTGAGGATGCACTAGGCTGATCTTTTGATGATAAGGGCCGATGGCGAGCTGGATCATGTCTATGTGAAGCCGTTTCATCTACAAAAGTCTCACTATTCTTTGGCTGCGGTGCTGCTTCTTTGTTCATCATAAATCCAAGGAGTTCATTACTAAAGGCTTGTGCTCTTTTTTCTTGTTCTGCATAACTTCTTTTAGATAGTGCAGACTTGCTAGGACCTTTACCACTACAAAGACCTCGCTCATACTCTTTCAAACGTGACTGCAACTGCAGATTTTCAGCAACATCTTGTCTAGCAGCATCAAACAGATTTAGATGAACTATTCCACTGTTTTTCCATTAGGAATGGCGAGCTTCAGCCAAATTTACTCTGGGAGCATTCAGCGACGGCTTGAAGGCACGGAACACATGGTGTTTCCTTTGTTCCCACCATGACCACCAGGTGAGTACATCTCTCATAGGGTACTTGTGTTGAAWCTGTTCCAACTGGTTTTTAGAAACTTCATACATGTTTGGAGTGGCTGCCTTAAGTATTCCTGAAAAAAAAAAACATTTTGAAAAAGGCCCAATAAAAATAAAATTACAGTACTGTRGTAAAAATGAAATATTGGTTGTATTATTTGGAGGATACTAAATGGAGTTTCTAGCAAATTTTTTATTAGACTAGTTCCAGTTCAATTAAAACATGTTAAGTAGAAGTCTGACCCAAGTAAGGGGAAAAGGGAAAGTAATATAAAGTATGGGCAAAGCGATAGTCATGTATGATTTTTGTTTTGTGACTCTGGGGTGGCATATAAAAGTTAGTAGGTGCTAATGAGCTGTAACAAAAGAAAGTGCAAAAAATTCTGCAGTGTTTGTACCAGAATKTTCAGGAAAGGCTCACTATATGCTGATACTACGGCTGGGGGTCTGGTAGTGCAATTCTGAGGGCAAGATTACATTGTATTTCGGATATTGGTGCAATGGCACAACTTGACAGCAAGCAGAGGTTAATTCCCATTAGTATAAATACATAGGTGATAATAGAAAATTGCGCGCGCTCATTGGTTCGCTATCTTGGATTAAGATATCTTGGATTGAGTAACTCAAATATCTATAAAGGGTTATACATACCATCAGTGATGTTGTCAAACTCTTTGCCTATGTCATGAACATAAGTAGCCTGGATAGCAATAACATTTCTCTTAACAGTAAACTTCCAATGCTTCTCACAACTTATGGTCCTATCAATCACTCCAATTCTAGTGGTATGGAAGCCCACCAGCCACCGCCTTCATCCACCATAACTCCGCAAGGGTTGAATTTATAAGTCGCATTCTTGGATACGTCTGAGAAATGATATTTTGGATCAGAGTTTGTAAAAACCCAAATACCAATGAATTATTCATTGGTTTCAATCTCATTGCCTGAACAAAGAATGTGATTAAGAGCTCAACACGGTGCATTTATTGAATAGGCCATTTKCAGGACTTAGTCACGTGCTTGGATACCACATAGCAACACGATTTTGGTATGCAAACTATTTCTCGCGGGAGATACAAAGTTGCAAACCAAGACAATAAAAAAACATAAACAAAACAATCCGGCGAGCCCAAAAAATACTTTCCGATTGCCTCCAAGCTTATAAACAGGTGAGAAAAGTTGTTGTCTGTCTTTTTTTGCCATCTTTTGAGACAAAGACGATTCTAATGACATTTTTTTCGCTCTTTCTCGCGTCTCTTCCGATCAAAGCAAGAACGAAAATGGCGACCTCAAAAGGTAAGTAATCGAAAAAAACCGTGTTTTCTATGCATTACTTAAATGTACTGGCTTGAAATTCTCTGAAAATATCGACTTTTCTACCTTCTATGAAATACTTAACGAATGAGAGGGTAATTTATGAGGAGTGATGAATAAATTTGCATCAAATTGAGTAAAAATAGCGCATGTATTTGGGTGTTGATTCCCTGTCATTCGTGTTTAGCAAATCAATTAAGTTGGTTATAAGCGATATAAACATAAAACATACTTTAATTTTAGCTCGTCTATATTCATTTACTAATTACTATTCTCACAATTACGTTTTTAAATGCTTATGTAGTGTTGTTATTACGTTTTTATAGGTAGTGAAGGAAAAGCCACTATTGATCTAACTTTATTCCCAATAATGACGTTTGGTGAAATCGAAATGTACTCAAAGAAAATGTCTGACTGCAAACATACTACAAAGGCATACAAATACTTTGCAGAGCCAGGATACTTACATGATATCAAAGGTARTAATGTATACAAAAGTTAATTTTTGTTTGCTATTAAAAATGAATTATTACATGTAGTATTTAATAATACTTTTTGACATAAGCCTTATCTTTCATGCCATTTCCATGTATGCTGTTTATACAATATATTGTTTGCTTAATGATCTTCAATAATCTTTTGGATTTATATATAAAAGGTACCAGTAATGAAATTTTAGTATATTTAATTGAATAATATAATTTTGATAATATAGTGATATTATAGGTTATTCTGACATTGAACTTTTGCTTGTCTTTATAGCGGAGCTCCCGCGCGGGCCCAAGGCCCGCGCGAGCGGAGCACCATAACTAAGGAAAAATGGTAAACCCATGAAGTTGAGTTTTGATCAACCGACACAGGAAGCCCAGTTGTCCTTCCGTACGTACGTACGTACGTACGTACGTCCGTCCGTGTAAATCGCGATTGTGATTGGCTACTTTTGAGAAGGCGGGAAAAGCAAGCGCGCTCGCGTCAATTGTTGAAACAACTTTTTCACCACAACGACTCCATTTTTGTCCTTTCAAATACTTTACTTCTGTGCCAAATGTCGGAAAATCAACGGGTAGCTAACGGGTAGCTAATCTTTATCTGAAGAAGAAAAGACAAGAAGAAGAGAAAGAGAGCGTCGAAGAAGTCTAAGTGAAGAACATCGCGGGCTTGAAAGGGAAAACGTGAGAGACGAAACAATCAAGTTTAAGCTTATTAAGAATCAAGTAAATCGAGAAACAAGTGAACGCCAAAGATAACGATTATTGATGGAGAATTTCTCAGAGGAGAACTAACATATTCTCAGAAACACAGTCACATCTCACAAAGTGGACTTGTTATTAATCCTCTATGGCCAAATATTGGTGCAAGTCCAGATGGATTTAGATACTGCAGATGTTGCGGGAAAACTGTTATCGAAGTGAAGAGTCTATACGCCAAACGTTCCTTGCTTCCACATGTTGCTGCACAGGAATTTGTCTACAAAGACAAGGGAGTTTTGTGTTTGAAGAAAGAGACAAGGTGGTATTACCAGATTCAGGGTGAACTGGCAGTTACAAAGCTAARCAATGCTGACCTTATAGTGTATACCAACAAAGGCATAATGGTTGTGAATGTAAAATTTGATCAAGAATTCTGGCAATCAATATTAACCAAACTTCAGGAATTTTACAATGCATTCATGATTCCTGAGATATTGTCTCAAGAAGTGAAGCAAACAGTTTCTATTAATTGATTTTTTTAAATGYCATGCAGCTAATCTGTGAATGATGTGCATGCAATATATTATAGAATGATAAACAATCTAGTAAATAAGATATTAAGGACTATATTTCAAGACACTATACCATTATGATGAAGGACATTTCTGAAGATTGTAAGATTAAAACAGTTTACATGAAAATATTAAGCTTTCTATAATTATAATTGTTTCATCAGATTGATTACCAACTATTTCTCTTGTTTGGGACTAGCATTGTAGCAGAGATGTKTACAATTATTGTCTTTGCTTTTAAATAGGGTGAATATTTGTTTTTGTGTATTTATATGTTCATTTGATCTAACAATTGCTAATATTTTMTATGAATTGACATTTTCTTTGCATCTGCTATCATCAAAACTTGTAAAATATGTTTACTGACTTTGCTGATAGAGGATACTAATGTATTATTTGGCTAAGGGTGGTAACAGATTGCATAGAGCAGCACACACTTCTACCATCTGATCAGAAATGTTAACCATAGACAGTGGGATGTTGCCTTCAAGGATTTTAAAGTTCTTTAGTCTCTCAATTGCACGTTCCACATGTATTCGGACCTTTGCAATGTTGGAAGTGTCTTTCCTTGCCTTTCTTGACAACTGCTTTCCTAAGAATATATTTTTTCATGTAAATATTTCCATATATTAAACTTAAATACAAATTAATTTAAGAAAATAAACTTTTTAAAATGCACATTATTCAATGTTTTTTTATTTCAATGTTTCTATTTCAATGTCTCTATTTCAATGTTTCTTATTGGTACTATTAGTATTTGTAAGTGGAAAAATAAAATATTTACCTTTAGAATGTGGAGGCATGTTGAGCTCAACACCTTTTCTTGTCAAGAGATCTCTAACAKTGAAACCCCTGTCAGCCATTAYATTATCTCCTTCCTCTAAAAGCTCAATAAGTCCACTYTCTTGGGTAATCTTCCGATCACTTGTGCTCCCAGACCACAGTTTTGATATAAAAGTGAAGGAGCCACAAGGAGCAATACCGACAAGTAGCTTCATGGTGTTGTGGTGCTTATACTCACTCCAAGTAGCTTTCTGGGCAGAGGGAGATGTGGGTTTTTCTATGAAGAACTCAGTTGCATCTATTATCACTCTGGTTTTAGGATATCTCTTGAAGGTTTGTGGCATACTTCTTTGTATTTCAGTTTTAGATGGCCATCTCAGTAAAGTGTCTTTAAAAATATGGCTTAATAGGCACATCCATGTTATGAATATTTTGCTCACAGTGGTTTTACACACTCCAAACATCTGACCAACATGTCTGTTCAAGAGACCAAGTCTTAGTCTGCACAAAACAAGAAGAAATTCTTCTTTCACACTAAGCTGCCGTTTTCTTCCTGGTTTTTTCTTATGGATAGATCGCTGATACTATGATGTTGATGTCTTTTTCTTATCCCAATATTTGATCTTTTCGGCATATGGGGATATTAGCTCTACCAGAAGCACAAAGGTGCGAAGATTAGGTAGATTTGTGTAGAATCTCACTGACTCATCGTTGTGCAACATATCTTCAATGTTGAGATCTCTTTTTAATTTTTTTTTATCAGTTAAYTTTGTCTTTAAACTTTCACAGCAGCTTTTCGTATTTTCAAACTCTTTCTCAAGCTTTTCGATCATTGCCATTGTGAGATCGGTTTGACAAGCTGTGCTTTGCATGTTCTCAGGGAAGACCCAGCTAACCTCGTAACACTGTGGAACGTGTTCGGTTTTAGCRTAACAGTGTTCGATATCGACTTTAAAATCACAGTTTAATGGCAGATCAGAATCGCTTGAAGACTGGAYATCTTCGGGAAGTTCACTTTCATTTACCACAGTAGCTCTAGTGTTTGATCTTTTTTGAGGCGCTTCGTCTTGAACGGTGTTTACATCGGACTTACGTTTTCTCTCACTCCTCATTAAAGAACGTCTTGAACGGCTACTTTCCTCACTATTAACTTGTTCAACTTCAAAGATAGATGGGATCGAACCTTTAACGAGTGACTTTCGACCAGTAAGGGTTGTCTTGATATCTTCAGATTTGAAGTGAAGGGAGCAAATCCGCGCGTCAACCAGAGTTTTAAACTCTGCATCTCCCCGACGACAAAAAACTTTCCAAGCTTTTAACTGCTTAGAATTACTGCTCGGAAAGACAAAATAGGATAGATCTGGCCTATTATGAGTGCCGTTTCCGCAAAGGGCAGCCGCACAATACTTAACCATTATTTAAAGACAAATAAAAGTAGAGACGTATTCGACCATGTGTGTTTGTTTTTATTAAACTTCGCGGTCTTCCCCGGAGCCTCGTTTTGAGGCCGCAAATTCGGCGCCAGTCTCCTCGCTCCAGCTGGCTTCGAACATATCTAAATCGGGCTATTATTAATTTATGATTTCTGCATGATTGAATAATACCAAAACTGTCAAAATGCATTTATATTATTTGATGATTTCCGTAAAGATTGAAAAGGTCGGTGTAACGTTCCCTAATTCAATTTTCTATATTACTTTTCAAATCACTAAATTCAAAAATAGTCCGTGTAACGTTCCACAGTTTATTTTTCAATTTTCTGTTTGTTATTAAATACGAAAAAATTGTCATTTTTTATGATTTCTTTTACTTTAATTTGAAATCGTGAATTGAATATAGATTTTCGTTTTTTTTTTGTCCATCAAATTCTATTTTTCAATTTTCAATTTCAAAATTGAAAATTGAATTTAGTTTTCTAGCGTTCCAATTTTTATTTTTAAATTTTTAAATTCAAAAGAAATATTGATGCTAGAAAATTTAATTTTGAAGAATAATATTTCAATTTCAATACTATCGACAAATATTATCGATGGCAAATCGATGGTTACCTACCCATTATAGCATGCGCGAACGATAAATTTTAACACTGAGGGAGTTCGCTGTGAATTTACTGTGACTTTGCTGTCAGCTTAACGTGTATGAAAAAGAAATG